GCTGTCACAAGATGGCACCTTGACCCCGGACTTCCTGCCTCCAGAACTGTGAGAATAAATGTTTGTTATTTAAGCCACTTGGCCTATATTGATGTGCGACGGCCGGTAAACTAAGACAGTCATTCTCAATCCAAGAAACCCTAGAAAACAACTGAATGTTAACTTTTTTCCCTTATAGGCCTGATAATTCATACCAGGTCACACAGAATTGACCAGCATAGGAAGCGCTGCTTCTTATCCTGGAGATTTAGGGCAACATACCTGCTCGTGGCCATGGAAATAGCCGCTAAGAGCCTGGATTCAGGAGCGTGAGAGCCTGGGTTGGAACCCCATCTTTTCCACTCACTAGCTCCGCGATCTTGACCAGTTTATTTAGCAATCTCTCGGCACGCCAGCTTCTTGTGTCTTAGCACCTCAGGCTTCCAGATGCCTTTGAAAATGTTTGAGCTCCAAAATATAGGGGGGAAAAAATTGCGAAATGAGAATCAATGAATGTTTAATTAAAAGTCTAGAAAACCTAATATTATGTCAAGTTTATTAACTGTTCCGTTTAGTCATCATAAAAATTTCATTACACTTAATTATATTTGAACCAAATTTATAGGTGAAATGGCCTCACTTTGCAAGAATTCCCCAAAATCCTGGACGCTCAGTGGAGAATGTTTGGTCAATTGTAATTAAATGAATTTCTTGTAGGTAAATCATTCAGCAAACAAAATGATCAAAAAAATCATTTGACTGTGAAAATAAAAGTTAGATGTGAATTCATTCAATATAGCTGTCAGGATGTGGGGAAGGGCTTTCCAAAAAGAGTTGGTGTAGGCAGAAGGGCTCGTGGACTGCCCAGTGCTGGCCACGTCCCCTCTCCCCTTGCCCACCTCCTGCCACTTGTTCTCCAGCACAGAGGGCCACCTTTCTGAATCCCCATCTCGCCCTGGGTGAAAATCCACCAGGGGCCCTTCCTTTGCCCCTGGGGAAAATTCAAGTTTCTACCACAGCCTTCAATACCCTGGTCCCTGTCCGTCTCGCTAACTCACCTTCCACCCACGCGGGTCCCCTTTACTGGCCAGAGCTTCAGGGAGTGGCGGGAGCCCCAGGACTCAGCCTGATTCACCAGATTGGCCTCTTCTGAAGCTGGAGTGGAAGTGGAGCCAGGAACCTGTGAGGGGGCCTTTCCTCTGCTCCCCCCTCCACCATCCACAGACCCCAGCATGCGCCCTGGGATAAAGAAGGCACAAGGAATTATTTGGTGAATGACCTGATGAATAAGTGGGACTGCTCTGTCATCTCGGAGAGGGACAGCTGGAGACCACATAATGATGATAGGACTAGTTTCTGTTTATTGAGCACATACTACATGCTCAGTGCTCTGCGAGCACCTTTGGTACCTGATCTCTTTTAACCTTTGTAACAACCCCACGAGGTAGGTTCCACTATGAGGAAGGAACTTTTCAGAGGGAGAAACTGAGGCTCAAAAAAGAGTAGGGACTCGCTCCAGGCACAGAGCTTAAAGGTGGGGGTGCCAGGACCAGAGCCCCAGGTCACGGGTGACCCATGGAGGCCACCGAGCTCTGCCTTGAAGGCGGTGAACAGAGCCAGGGCAGGCCGTGCTGGGGTTCTGCCGTGGCATCTGCTGCCTTCCGTGCAGCAGCTTCGCTTGGGCTGCTTCTCTCCCTGTGCTGGTGGCTCTTGCAACCTTGTCCCTGTCCCTCTCTGGCCACCTCTGGTTCTTTGACCTTTGCCCCTGACCAAAGACACATTATTCTCCACATTTGGTGCCTTCTGACCTTTCCACTCCCACCCCTGAGGTGACTTCACAGAGGAAATGTGAAAAATAACATCCAGCCTGCCTGGTAGAAAGGAGACCGGGGTTTGCCAACACAATGTGCAGCAAAAATATCTCTCTTTTAAGAAACAGAGAGAGAAATTTAAAGACTCAAGATCAGTAACATGTAATTATCATCTGGTTTGGGCGGGAGAGTTCTAATAGTTTCCAGAAAAACAAAAGCCATGAAAAGGGAGCGTGCATTCCAAAGCAAAAAGAGATTTGGGCTCCAGCAGACAGGGGCGCCATCTTGGACCCTCTGTGGCCTTTGAGGCCGTTCCCAGGCAGAGTAAGCAGGCACGGGCACCCCTGCCTTCCTCTCTCTCCCCTTTTGCCTTCCACACTGGACAGCAGGCTCTGAGAGCCTGCAAAGTGCCTTTGAACTCAGCCTCAGATCTGCTCAATAAATAGGCCACAGTTAATGGCCATACCTGAAGGTATTCTCACTCTGTCTTTGAGGGAACAACAGAGCCTTGCAATGACAAGGACAGGTAGGTATCCCCCAATATCTGTTGCCCCCTATTTTGAAAGTAATAGAACCCCGAATTTTAGCTGGGTGTCTTGTGGTCCAGAATAACGACCATCTTCCCCAGCTTTCCTTGCCAGGGCATGAGACTAATAGGCTGTCAATGGAATGTGTGTGCGACTTGCAAATATTCTTACAGGGGAGGTACCTGCCCTTCCTCCCTTTCCTCCTTCCTGCTGGAAGAAATGCAGATGTGATGGCTGGAGCTAGAGCAGCCATCCTAGCGCATAAGGCCAACCCGGGAGTGGGGGCCACAAATGGCAGAGCAACAAAATAGAAAGGGCCTGGGTCTCAACACCATGGTGTGCCGTACCTAACCCAGACCGCCTACCAGACTGTTAGGGGAGAAAGAAAGGAGCATCTGGATTCTTTAAGCCACTGATATTTGGGTTAAAAACAGTCCTTATAGTCAAATTACCTTGAAAATCTCTTAAACTAAGAAGAGAAACACAAGATAATTTAAATCTTTAAAAGTGAGAACCCCACCCAGTGTGGTGAGTTGCTTGCAGCAGGTTCATGGCTTCCATGAATTCCAGAGAGCTGTGAAATGCTCCGGAAGGTGGAACCCACCCACATTAAATTGTTTTTTCTTTCTCTTTCCTTCCCTTTTTTTTTTTTGTCTAGTTCCTGAAGTTGTATTATAGAGATGCATCACATTTTCTAACTTATGCAAATTTTGTGAGCACCAACTAAGTGTCATATAGATACGCTTTTTCTTATTTACCATCTCCGTTTTATACTTAAAGAAACTGAGGCTCAGCGAGGTGGTGACGCACAGCTGGGAGGAGCAGGGCGGCAGCTCAGCTCAGACCTGCCCTGGAGAAGAAGGCAAGGCAGAATCTTCGCCCAGGTGGCACCTCCCAGGGCACTTGGCCTTTCCAGCGTGGAGGTTCCTGCCGTGGGTTCCTAAGGACCACTCACAGAGCCAGTGCCCCATGTGGCTTCAGGATAGGACACAGGGACACTGGGGACAGGAAGAGGCCATCCTAACACTGCCCAGATGGCAGGGGGTGCCAGCCTTCACCACTGAAGCACAAGTGGTGCTTCCAGAAACCAAACTAAACCTCAGGATCAAGGTCGAGTCCCTCAGCCTGACCTTCAAGCCCACCAGGCACCTGGGTCAAGTCCTGGGCCTGGCGCTTCCACACTAAGAGGTGAGCAGCACACAGGGAAGGGGCCAAGGAGTCTGAGCAGGAGAAGCCAGGGAGGAAGGGGAAGAACCGGGGCTCGGGCCAGATGGGGCCGCGGTTTCCGGGGGGCAGGGGGGGGGGTGAGGAAGGAGGATGGGTGGGAGGGAGGTCCCTCCTCAATCGGAGGGACCAGGCAGAGGTGAGCCGGAGACCAGGTTGGTGAGTGGGCGCCACCTGGTGGCCAGTCTGGGCACGCGGCTCCAGCGTCCACTGGGGGCTCAGTCGGAGCCCCCTCCCCAAGGACGCCTCCACAATCTTCCTCAACACCCGCAACTACCTCGCATGTAGAATTAATGTTGTCAGTTCCTATAGAGATACACCTTTCTTCGGTTTTACATAAGACAGAGACACAAGCATCTTTGTGGTTTCCTGTTTTTATTGAGTTGTCAAATACTCTCCCCCACCGCTCCAGGCTAATAACATCACCTGGACCACTCGGCCCCGCCCTCAGGAATTCAGATTTAATCGGTCTGGCTGTTGACTGGGTATCAGGACTTTTCCTGCTTTGCTCAGCGAAGGCAGCTTGGAGACAAGCGTCCAGCACCCCTTTCCTGGCTGCTATCGCTGTTCCTAGCCCCTCCCTTTGCAGAAATGCTGAGGCAAGGTCCCCGGAGGGAACGCGGACATCTGCGAACCCGCCTAGGCTTTACTGCAGCTGGGACTCTGAGCCCAGGGACTTCCGGAGCTGAGTTCTTGACCGGCTTGGTCAAGAACAAAGATCACACAAAGCCCTTCTCCTCTGTAGGCCTCAGTTTCCCCTTCTATTACCTGAAAGAGAACAGTGGCCCTGAACTGCTTTGGGGGCCACTGGCCCGTTTGAGAGTTCATGAAAGCCATGGGTCCTTTTTCCAGAAACATGTGGGTTCTGAACTGTGCTTATGACTGTAGATGGCGCTGGAAGCTCTGGCTGCTCAGCTGGATTAAACCCTTAAGTCCTCACCACGACCTCCTCAGGTAGCTGCTTTTATTAGCCCCATTTTACAGATGAGTAAACGGAGGTGGGGGCACAGAGAGGTTAAATAATTCGCCCAAGATCACACAGCCAGTACATGGGTGGGGGTCTGGGTTAGAACCTAAGAATCTCTGTGGCCTTGGACAAGTGACCTCACTGACCTGAGCCTCAGTTTCCCCTCTGAGAAAAGAGGCAAGTACTAGTCCTTACCCTGTAGGTGAGTCAGAGGGGCACATGAGATTGGAAAGCACATAGTAGGTGCTCATTAAGGAGAGTTGTCATTTTGATCCGCACACAATCGCAGGGCGCCCACCCAGGAATCCTGGCCTGTGTGTGTTAGGGGGTCTGGGTGGGCATCAATGGGCACCTGGAAGTTCGGGGAAACCCCTGGCCCCAGGCGATGCAATGGTCTTGTCAAGCTCAGCTCACCCCACCAAAGTCTGGTCAAGGCTCCTCCTTACTCATCAGTTCTGCTTTCGGTTTTGTTTCTTTCAAAAGCCACACACGTACACGTTTCATTTTCTTTTCCTCCACAAAGCTGATATGCAGGCAGGCTAGGCTTCTGTTTCCGTGGTGTGAAGAGCTCACACCTGCCGGCTTGGAGCTGGCCTCCCTTCACAGCTGCCAGGGTTACTGGGCTCCACCACACAAGGACACCCAGCCCCGAGCAGGCCCACCCTCTCTAGGCCAAAGTGCAGGAGCCTGTCGCTCTCTCCCAGCCCCCCTGCCAATTCTCCCAGGGCTTCCAGAAGCTGCTGTCAGCATGGCCGGTGCCCCTGCGGACCCAGGTGAGACAGGTACTGCCTTCTTTCCGAGGGACAGTGGGAATCTGGGTGGGACTGGCACGGCTCTTTCTGCCTCCTTTGCTTGGAGCAATGGACCAGGTTGCAGCAATGATAGTGACAATACCTTCAAGCCCGAGGTCACAAGAAAGGGGAGAAGGAGGTGATAATCGGGTTGGGGAGGCTTGCTCTGCCCTAGGCGCCTGGCAACACACTTGCCATGCATTTTGCAATAACCTCAGCGGTGAGTACAAAGGTGTTTCTGTTTCACATGAGATCACCGAGGCCCTGCGAGGTGAAAGGAAGGAGGACTCAGAGCATCTGACTGATGCTGGGGGCTGAGCACCTGGCTTCACACTCATTTCGAGAAAGAGCAGAAGTTGCTTTGATTCGAAGTGCCCGTTTCCCTCCGTTGTGTTCTTCCTCAGATAACACTCCTGGGTGGGTACCAGCGGGGGTGAACCCGGTGGCGGGTGAACCATTGCTGCATTCCCGGGCCACCGCTCGGGGCTTGTGGGCTGTGGGTTGAGGGTGGTTTGGGCTGGGTGTGGGGGAGTTGTTGTTATGATTAGCTCATTAATCCTCAACCACAATCTTCGAAGTAGTGCTATTATCCCCAGTTTACAGATGGAGAAACTGAGGCACAGAGCGTTCACACAGCTAGTAGGTGGCAGAGCTGGGGCTCAAACCTGAGAAACCAGCCATCAGAGAACAAAAGTGAGGGAACGAGGGTATGCTGGGGAGGGGTGCCAGCAGGGTGTGGCCCAGGTTCCTGTCATATGTCCCCAAGGGGGACGGACACACCGGTACTGGTCAAAGGCGCTCAGCAACTGGACTTTACTTCCTCCCCAGTGGGTTTTCCTCTCCTTACCAACTTGTCGCTTATACCTCGTCCATTTCACAGCTTCCCATTTGCAGAAGGACCCAGCCCTTGGGTGCTGACCTTCACACATCTCCAACCCCACTTCTGCTTTGCGGTCAGGAAGGTGGAGGAGAAGGGTGGGGAAGCGGCTCATCCCAGCAGGTTGTTCAAGAATCAAAACTCTTTTCAAGTCAAGGCAAAGCCAGGTGTACAGTGGGCTGGACGAGGATTTCCCGTGCCCGAGGTGGCTGCTTGGGGCAGGATTTGGTGGGTGAAGGGGTTGGCACCCCAGGTGTTCTAAGTGCACTGCACCTACGCCCAGCAAAGACAAACACTCTGACCACAAAGAATGCAGCTAGAGAGACAGCAACTGGGTTGACCCTTCCCCCCCAAAAAAAACCCCAGAAAGCAAAGAATCGGATATGGCCACCACCCTGGAAGGCAACCCCGATTTACCCAAGAAGGGCCCTGCTTTGCATTATTACTCTTGGGATTCTTGGGGGCAGACGTTTCCTGATGACAGGCTGGGCTGCCACACACAGCGGCTCTATCCAGCTCTCCAGACACTGCTGGCCCCGGGTCTGCACCAAGCTGTCCTCTTACTCCCCGCAGAGCAGCTGTCCTGGGTTTGTGGGGTTCTGCCTCGGAGGAGCAGCAGCCCTTGGAAAGTTCCTCTTTGAGCCTCAAGGGATCCTGTTTAGGGTCGTTAAACTCAGGTGGGAAAACACAGACATGCCATGCCCGGGTCACCTGGGCAGACATCTGTCCCAGCGGTGGACGAAGCCACTTCCTCCCTCATTCACTCGGCCACTCGTTCATTCACATGCCATGTCCTGAGAAATGTATGCCCGGCACTGTGCTAGACACCAGGCGTTATGACGGGGATTCTTGGGGATATTCTGCAGGGGACATAACACACAAACAACCCCCTACCCATGCAGGGCATGCAGGACAGCTTCCCAAAGGAGATGGTGTCTGAGTGAGAACTGCAGGTTGAGTAGATGCTGGACAGGAGGAGGGTGGGGAAGAGTATTCCTGACAGGGAACAGCATTGGGAAAGGCCCAGGGGTGAGTGCGGCTGAAAAGAGCCCAGATGGGTGGGCACTTGGAGGGAAGTTGAGGGTGGGTAAAGACAGGGCTGAGTGGTCAGCAGAGCCAGTCCTGGCTGCCGAGGGGAGGGCGGCCTGGAGGAAGCCCTAGAGTTGGATGGCGTTGCTGTCAATCTAGAGATGGTGACACAGAATAGGGAGATGGAAGCAGAGAAGAGAAGAAGGCATTCAAGAGAGCCAGGACCCGTATTTCCGGGTCTGTTGGGATTGGGCATCCGAGGGAGAGAGACCCGTTTCTGAATGTCTGTTAGGTTTCTGGCTTGGACGAATGGTGACACCGCTGATGGGGGGTGGTGAGCCCAAGAGGATTCCGCAGGGAGGAGGTGGCTGGGATCAGGGGACAGAGGATGCCTCCCAGGCAGGGACTCCGCCTCACTGCCCTGCCCTTCCTCCTTTCCCTCCCTTCTCCTCTCCTCATCCTGCCCCCTCTGCTCCGAGGACATCTGAGAGCTGAGCAGTCTACCTGCCCTCCAGGGAGTGCTCACAGTGGGCCGGACCCGCGAAAGGCCCGGGCGCCTCCTCTGGCCACTAGGCTGTCTGGCCAAAGTCCTTTCTGACCAGCCCATGTGCCCTTCGCTGAACAGAGGGTGGTATTGGCGGGTACTGCTCAGGCCTCTGCCCTGGACCCCTCTCACGGGGCCATCCCTGCCCCCCGAGCATCTAGCCTCGGCTCCGTCGTGGGGCTCTCAGTTCTGTCTCTGCCCCCTCTCCTCCCCCAGACCTTAAGCAGAGGATTCTGCGGGTGCTGAGGGACGCTGGATGCCCCATGAAGACTGCCCTGCTGGTAAAGGAATGCCAAGTGCCCAAGAATAAACTCAACCAAGTCCTCTACCGGATGAAGGATGAGTCGCAAGTGGCCCTCGCAGGCCCCGGAACTTGGTGCTTGGGCAATGGTGGGACTGGAGAAGCGGTTTCCACAGCGCTGGCCCAGCCTAGCCGGGGTAACCTGCCATCCTGGGGGGCGGGTCAGACCTCGCATGAGCAGTTCTAGCAATGGACAAGCTCGGACTTGGGCCTGCGTTCAAACACAGTCTCTGCCCCTCGGGGGCGCATGATGTCCCCTCACCGTGCCTTGATTTCTGTTTCTGGCCAATGGAGATAACAGTAGGGCTTCTTCATAGAGTCACGAGAGGATTAGATGCAAAGGACTCAGCCTCGTGCCATCACATAGTAGGTGCTCAGCAAAACACTAATAATAGCAGAAAATAATGATGGTAATAATGGAACACTCACCATCACACTAGATCCTCTTTTCTAGTTTTGTAGCCCACAGACCAGAAGAGCTGACATTTATCAGGTGTCCACACTGGGCCGGTGCGGTGCCCAGGGTCCACCTAGATGGTGTTAGATGGCATTCTTCCCCCTTTTCCCAGAGAGGTTTTGGTGGCAGGGAAGCCACACGGCTGGAAAGTGGCAGGGCAGGATTGGAAGCCAAGTCTATTGAACTCTAGAACCTGAGTTTGGAACGCCGGTGCCCTGGGGCCCACTGCGGAGCAGCCCGCCTTCGCCTGGTAGAGTCCCCTCTCCTGTCCTGTTCCTCCGCCCTCTAACCCATCTCTAACCCATGTTTTCTCCAGCAGAGAGACCCCAGCAAGACGTAGTTACAATCCCAGAAAGACCTGACTGTCAGCTCAGTGAACAGCGTAAGCAACCTGGTTTCCCTTCAGCTCCTGGGACATGGGGCCCACTTCCTCTCACCCCCCAACTCTCCTTGGCCACTTGAGGTGCTACGAGGGTTCAGGGGTCATGCCCTGCCCACTGAGAGGCTCCCACAAAGTTTTCAGAGGCCAGACTGAGTTCTCCGCAGTGAAGAGGCTAAATGGCTGAGAATTCATTTCTCTGATCGATAGCCAACATTCGCTGTGCACCTACTATGTGCCAGGTACTGCTTGGAGCACTTGATGTCCATCCCTCCATCCCTGGTCCTCAGGACAACCCGTGTGTGCATTAGTGTTGTGCCCACTTTACAGATGAGGGAACTGGGCAGAGGGGCTGGGTCTGCCCAGGGTCACCCAGCTAGTCAACAGTGGAGCAGATTCAAACTCCAGGGGTCCTCCTTAATCTCCTGCCATCCTGCCTCCCAGAGGAAAAGATCTATAGGTTTCTGGAAGCCAGTGGGCCCTGTAGGGCCCTGAACATCGCCAAGTCCCTGGGAATGATGACAGCAAGAGAAGTCAACCCAGACTTATATGCCATGAGTAAAAAGCATCTTCTGGACTTCAACCAGAATTCAAAAGTATGGGCAATTTATCGACCAGGTAAGCCCTTATCTGCTGTGCACACCTGGCTAGGCAGACCTGTGAAGAGAAACCCCAACACCCAACCCTTGGTCCTTGCCGAGCACTTTGCCTGTTCCACCTGTCAGACCCTCCCAGAAATTTGCAGTGGTCTTGCTGACCGGTCACTGGAAGTGGGGTTCTAAGAAGGGAAAGGGGGCACTTGGTGGAAGTAATCAGAGAGGACTTCCTGGAGGCATGGCCTGAAGTTGCCGTTGGAGAAAGTAAGGGACGGGGAGAAAGGTGGCCCACTCCTAACTGGATGCCGGGCTCAGTCTGAGTTTGCTAACAGTTCTCTGTAAGCACTTTGCCCAACTTGAAGTTTTGAAGTCGCTGGAAGTGAAGGCAAGGCTGGGCTCAGATAGCCACAGGGTGGAGTCCTGGGTCTGACTTATCTGTGAGGTGCAGCAGACACAGGCCTAGAACCCACAGGTCTTCTACGGGCCCATAAAAATATTCTAATTTCTGTTAAAATCAGAAGAATAAAGTGAGTGTTATAATAATAATGAATAGCTAATCATGATTCTAACCTAGATTATATTTGTCTTTATCCCAACGCAGTCATAAACTGTAATGATACATATCTATGTATATGTTATATGGAATATTTTATTATATTATGGAGGAAGAGGCTTAAAAAGGCACAAGAGTCTAGGGCCCATGAGGGTGGGACTGTGGCCCCTTGTGTGGAGTTGGAGAAGCCCCAGGCAGGTGTCCCCCGGCCCACAGCGGGGCAGACGCCCCTGCTCACGGTACCCAAGGGGGTCCCCACATTCTAGGAATGATAACTTGTGACAGCAGCCAGATTTTAGACACTGGTGACAAATCCAAATACTTTCTTTTTTCCACAAGGAAAAATGTATAAACCAGGATAAAATAAAAATGAAACATGGAAAACAAGACCGGAAGTCCAAGACAAATTTGTCACTAACAAATCCAAATTCTTACAAAGGCCTTGTGAGCCAAAGAAAGCTTATCTGGAGGCCAGAAACAGCCCATGGGCAGCCACTGTGCACCCTCTTGGGTAAAGGGAGGGGGTCCTGGAGCTCAGGGAGAGACGCAGAGGGCAGGGCGAGCAGTGAGGCTCCAGATACCCTCCCCGGGTGGCAGGGGACACAGGTAGGTTGACCTGCTGTGACGGTGTCCAAGAAAGGCTCACCTGAGATGTCTGTGGCATTTGTTAAACACCCCAGTTCCTGAGTCCCTAGGACCTACTGACTCAGCACCCCCGGGGTGGGTACCTGGGAATCTGTGTAGTCAAGCTCCCCAGGAGACACTGGAGCTGCCAGCTGGCATTCAGAGCCGCTGACCCCTCAAGAGATGCAAAGGGATTGAGTGGAATATTGTTTAGCAGAAGGTTCTGGAGGAAGAAATCAGTCCACCGCAGTCATTTACCAGCAAAATCCCATCAACATGATCTATCAGAACGGCCCAGGCAGCCACATTTCCATTGCGAACTCTCAAGCCATCCAGATCGGACACGGGAACCTCATACTGAGCCAGACGGCCTCTGGGGAGAATGGTGAGTCCTCTGAGAGACACCAGACAGGACCACTGGGGGCAGCTGCTCCAATGTGGGGGAGGGGCAGGGAATAGGGCAGGGGGGGAGTCTTTCTTCATGCCTGGATCAAACCTCTCCTGCTTTCCCTTCATTTCGATACCTTTTGCCTCATTTTTAAGGGGACCCAATACTTTCTCATGAGAAACAGCTCGATTCACTCTCCCGCAGTAGAATGTCGCGAGGGGTCATTGTAGTATTTTGTTTGTTCTGAGACACACTGTTTTCTCCCACATTTTAACATCTTGGAAACTGGAGTGCGTCCTAGTTTGCATGGAATATGGTCCTACGGATGAGTGCTTCCTCTGTGCAGGCAGGCACTGTGGTGAGAGGGGACAGGGCCCCTCCCGCCTCCCCCCCATCCCCCGATTGCAGCCATGGGACACGGTGAGAGCATCAGCCACAAAGCTGGAACACTCCCTGTGACATCGAGAACCCTCCCCCACTCTGGGCCTCGGTTCCCCCAATTGTGAAATGAGGAACTTTGTTCTAGAACCCAGATCAATGTTTGCCCAACTTAGTCCTCTGAGCAACCCCCTTCCCAATTTTGGCCACGCCCATGTCTGCTTATTTACTCTGTGGTGTTAAATGGTTTACCTTTTCGTTCCACTCAAATTTATTTTAACGTGAACTTGTATAGCACTACCTTATGTTGGAAACCAGGAAGATCACCATAAAAACCAATGCTGAGAGAATGAGTGTCGGAGGCTCTGAGCACCGGGTGTGGGGCGTTACAGATGTCGTAACACCAAAGGGGACTCTCTCCTGAAGGGCTCAGAGGATTGACAACGACTAGGAAGCAGAGGATGTGCTCACTGTTTGGTTTTCAAGTGCCCCCGTGACACGCCAGGCACCAGTGGTGAAAACCTGGCTCGCTCCATGCTAACGTTTCTGCTGGGCCCACGTGCTCTCCCACCCAGAGCTTATCATCAGTCCCTGCCTGATGGTGTTCAGGGAGAATTCAGAGGCCTGTCTCCTCTGTCCGGCCAGGGCTTTTTGTGTTTGGGTGTGTGTGTGGGAGGGTCAGATGGGGCGGTCAGATCAGAGGTCATGTGGCTGTGTTTCCTGCCAGGCCCCACGGTTCCCCTCTACCCCCCTCCACTGGAATCAGCTGATCCATCAACTCAGGACCCTCTGGCTAGATCCTGGGGGTCCCAGGATATCTACATGGAGAAGTCTGAGTTCAGACGGGTGCAGCTGGGACACGGCAATGAGCTAAGCATTCATAGCACCCCGACCAAGGGCCCTGCCTGCAGCCCCGCTGGCAAAACCACAGGTAACTGGGGGTCATGCAGCCATCCTGCCCCATCCTTATCCCGTTTGGCTTCTCACTAGATGGGACTTGAGTCAGTCCTCCAGGGAGAGAGGCATGATGGGAAATTCCTTTCCATCCACCAGGAGGCTGTACCACAGAGTAGAGCAGGCTCCCATCCTTACTACCCGCCTCAGGAAACCTTAGATTTTTCCATTTGTGCAATGGGCAAGAAACAGCAGAGGCTGGGACAGATGACGTGGGGACATGGAATGGCATCTAAGGAGGGTGGAGGACAGGAGCCACCTAAGTACCTGGTGTCCTACTAACTGCTGTCGACGGGGACCAGAAGGCCCAGGTTGCATTCTCCCCATCGCTGGTAATCCAGAGACAAGCTGGGTGAGAAAGGCAGCAGGGAGGCCTGAGAGGGAGGGAGACAGCCAAGGACGCCGTTTCCAGAGAGGGGAGGCCAGTGAAGTCAGGGGAGCTCCATGGGGCCCAGCAACAAGGGACCGCTGAGGGGACCGTGGGGAGTGGGAGGGAGTGAGGCTGAGCACTGACACGTCTTTTCTGAAGTTGGGGTGGAAAGGCAGGAGCAGGGCTTGGGGACCACAAGAAGATTTTAACCAAAGTCAGCTCAGGCGGTGAACAGCGTTCGTAGAGACACCAGAAGAAGCAAGGTCTCGGCTGTCTATTGAGCAC